AAAACAACAGTTTATAGTTTAAACTGTGAAACTGTGTGTGTGTGTTGTAATTATGGTGCCTGCTAACAATTTCATACTGCCACACTGCACATATGGCTTCCAAGCTAGCTTTATCTGAATCTTTGTGAATCTATTCTCTGTGCTATTAAACTGAGCACATTCCACATCGTTCAAAAGTAATTACACTTTTGTCTAGAGTGTAGGAGACTGCTCTCCCCAAACAATGAAATTCTCATTATTACAGCTGGCACAATAACAGCACTGGTGTTCACAACACTGTGCATTGTACCATCACAATAACTTATCCTAAGCTTGATGCACAAAGGTACACTGAAAATTAAAATTTCTCTAAAAGCACTATGTGTTGTGTTTTGTTTTTTTAATAGGCATTCTTTAGCTCAGTATGATTAGAGTCCTATTTGACTTTTTAAAAGGCGGTATGCATTCAAATTTCCATTCTCTCTGCAACTTCTGAATAGCAGCTAAGTGCTCTAGCTGCATGTTGTTCTGATCTAATACTATTCCCATGCTGACGACAACTCCAGACCAACAGGTGACGTGCAGGCCAGGATGTATGTGATAAGAGAACTCAAATGCAGCATTAAACAACCTTTTGTTTTGGGCAAGTGGAGAAGAAGCATGATGCATCATGTTGGTAAGCTGCTTGACCAGTAGTACTTTTATTCTTTAATATAACCAAAATTTAATAATATTATTATCAAGTTACAGACGAATAACTTCATTCACCACAGGAATACAACATCTTTTTAGTGTGAAGAAATAAAGCTGCTTAACAGTGCAATGTAATATTTCCTATAAATTTCAAGCACTGCTGAAAACTAATTCTAATTTCCACTGAAAGTACAGGATGAATGTGGGCTACCAGTGCAGTCATGCAGTTTAGAACAACTGCACAGCGGCAATATTACATCTTACCAGTTTCATCTTCTGGTCAGAACTTCCTCTTTAAAAAAAAAAATTAAAATCTCACCCAGCATCCCATTGATATTCTACAGTTTGGAAGAACAGTTGAATTTAACCACAGTATACCATGCCCGTGGTATACTTTAAACAGTGCTTTTAGCCTTGACATCTCATGTTTTCAGAAACTAGCAAACAGACACCACTGGTGAGATCAGTAGTTTTGAGAGGTGGCAAAAGAAACATGGCAAAGCAGACAGACAGAAATAAATACAATCAACCCTCATAACATAGATGAGCTAACAACTATCTGTGCTGTCCAAACACTGTAGCCTTAATAGGTTTCTTCAAAAGAGGTACTGACTGATACTGTAATCCTTGAGCGCTCCCCTGCTAAGCCTGTGGTCTGCTATGAACATTATAAGGGGATGCTCAAATATATTATAGGTCAAATGATTCATCTTGTATTTCAGTCCGAGCCTTTGGTTTAAGTCAGATAAATTATCATTTCTTTTCTTATCAGTGGAAGAGCTTTCCTATTTACAATAAGTATCCAGTTTCTTCTATCAAGAGGAAGAGAATTTGGGATAGAGTTGCCCCTGCTTTCCACAGAAACACAAAATGGTTGAGGTTGGAAGGGACCTCTGGAGGTCATATGGTCCAACCCTCCCCCTGGTCAAGCAGGGCCACTGAAGGTCAGTTGCCCAAGACCGCGTCCAGACACCTTTTGAGTATCTCTAAGGAGGGGAACTCCACAGCCTCGCTGGGCAACGTGTTCCTATGCTCAGTCATCCTGGTAGTAAAATGATGTTCAGAATGAGTCTTCTGCATTTCAGTTTGTGCCCACTGCACTAACCTTTCTCTGACTGAAGTTCCAGCATCCTCAAAAATATCTTGTTAATTGTGATGGGAAGAAAGGTTTTGCAGCTTTTTGTCAATTTTGGTGAGGCTTGAAGATTTCTTTCTAGGAAATTTGCCTTCCTTTTATAAAACTCTAACCAGCATAGAGCTGTATCTCTAAGTTAGCAGTTGTTACAAGTTGTAAAGTGAAACATGTTAAATTTTCAAAAGTCTGAGATGGTTATCACTCTGATTATCACAGAGTCACAGAGTATCACTCTGGTGCAAGCAGCCCTTTACCTTAAGTATCCTAGGAAGTCCCAAATGGCAGGACTTGTAAAAGGAAGCACAGCTGGAAGTAACCTATGAAACAGAGGGTCAATTAGCAGCCAGAAAAGTGAGGTCAATAAATTGATTCTCAAGGCTGAAATTGTTTTCCTAACTGTCCATTCATGACTCAGTGCTGAGAGGCAGAACATGAGGAGGCAGGGACGGCTGTGGTGACAAGTGGAATTCAGCTATGCAGCCTACTGATGAGACAAAGCTGTGCAATTCCATACCCTTTACAGATCCCTTGGCCGTGGATTTATTCTGTTGAAATTGTTCCCTTAGCCAAACAGATGCTGTACCTGTCGCTAACACCAGAAGGTCTCTCTGGATCTATACCATGTCTATTGCAGAATCCCTCTGAAGAAGAGCCTTAGCCAATAATCATGCACAAAGCAGTATGGATTAGAGGGTTGCAGCAGAGTGATGCCCTAGATGATTTTGGACTGGCTCTATGCCTGATCCTGTCTTAGTGGACATCAGAGAGAACTGCAAAGGTGTACCCCGCTAAAGGACAACAGGTGGCCACAAAATGAGAACTCCATAGTCACTTGCAGACACACTCACTAGGTGCAGTAGTGCAGCTGACAAGCTATTAATAAGTGTGAAGCACACTGCTGGAGCTTTATCAATAAAACTACTGGACTACACTGTGCAGTGGTGTGTGCACATGTGCATACACTTGAATTTCCTTCTCAGAGACTTATAAAATAGCACACAATGTCGAGTGAGACGGTATAAAGATGACCTCTGAAATGCTACCTAAGTGAATAACCTTTGGGAATGACTTCCATAACTGCTAATCACCCAAACCAAAGTAATCTAAAAGTTATCCAAGCACTAGGTTCAGTTACTTCCTTCTTATAACTACATACCACAACAGCAGAGGAAGCGATTACGTCTATTTTACTCATTTACACAGATCACTTCCTTCTTGCCGGAGACGCAAAGACTACATCCTTTCTGACCTACCTGGATGATGATTTTTACAAGACACTCCTCACCAAAAGAGTGATATTACCAAAATGTCACATTCATACAAACTAGCAATTTTCTTAAATATGTATGAAGACATAAAGAGTCTCTACAATCCCCAAACATGCTTCACATAAGCTTACAGCATCTCACTGGTACAGCAAAACTGTCTAAGACATGCAACAATTCAGTATCTTGTACTATAAAAAGACAGAACACACTGTTTTGACATCACATTAAATACAGCCTTCATAGCAGGAAGTCACACTAGATGATCAGCTAAACTTCTTGGTCTTAAAAACTATAAATTAATAAAGAAGTTAGTTAAAGAGAGCTAATGAGCAGTTAAGTGTTTCAGTGAGGTGTAGTTAAAATACTCCTGCTGGGGTCCTTCAAAGACAATGAGTTTTTATTTCATTAGGGTCTGATTCTACACTACTGGTGTGACCGCAAGTTTATCTATTGACTTCAACGCTGTCAGGAAGAACCCCTTATCTTCAACACACTCTCTGAAAATAGGGCCAAAATACAGCAAAGCTCATACACCACTTACATGTTTTAACACCCTGTTGACTGGAACTGTCAATTAATTACATCTCCATAAAATACATAGTAAAGGCTGAGAAGTAAACAACTTAGAAAAAGATAATGACACATATGTCCGTGAGTAATTTTGTCAATGATGTTCTTTCTTCATTTAAAGTTGCAATAATGCAAAGTAAAATAAAGTATTTCAAAGCCCTGTTTGAACTTAAGCATTAGACCAAAGAGAAAGAAAAACGGATTGGGATCAGTGAGTTATTTTGTCTAGGACTGCAGCTTCAGTGAATATCCAGTGACTTGGTCCTATGAGAAATAATAATTCTTAAGGCTTTTTACTCAGGGCTTGTTACATATGCATAATGAGCTGTAAGGGCTTAAATACCACTATGGAGCTCTTGCAGACTTTTATGAGAATACACTACCACCTATTTTTCAATGCCTTTTTAAAAGCCTTCAAATATGCAGGTCGATTCATTATCTTTGCTTAAAGTGAAATTGTCAGTGCCCTTGTCAAAGTGAGAGACTAACAGAAAACTTAAGGTCAATTTATAAACAGGCAAGAGCTGTGTAAGTGTGTTCACAGCAGACAGCTTTGTCAAGGTGCCTGAGCCCTGGAGTTTCCATGCCTTTTTCAGCACCTTTAAACCTTTATTTAAATATATCACAGCACTCTTCACGAAGGGCCCAAACATGTAATGTTACAATAGGGACACTACAATAGTCGTGAGGAACGTGGCATTACTTTTTGTTCTTTTTGTCTGTTTTCAGATAAAGCTAGTTCTGGACTTCAGTGGACTGCTAAACATAATGAATTAATGCACAGTGTCATTTGTGAAGTGCACAGAAAGGTGGGATTTCACCAGTTTAAAAGTGCTAGGCAGGTTTAATTCCCTAAGTACAGCAAATTTTCTTGTAGGTATCTGTGGCATGGGAAATACACATCAGACGTGAATTTTTAAAACCAGCAGAATCCTAAGTGTCCTTTTTTCCCCTTTGTATTATACAGACTTCCGTGCCTTACTATTGCATAAACTTGGCATTGGGGTGATACTTCAGACACTGTGCCAAACATGACTCTCACTTACAGTGTTCCAAAACCATTTACTGTTTGCTGAATACATACACTTCAGATTCATGTTACTGTAGCTAAAAAAATTTTAGCACCCTAAATGCCAGCAGGCAAAGGTGGGAAAAGTGGAGTTTGCACTGCAAATGATTTGTAGTGGAGGGTAGAGGCAGTCCAGCCAGGTCAAAGCTTTCACATTATTGTAGCATGTTCTGTACATGTAACCGTGCATTGTATACTCCATAAAGTACAGATCTGGATGCCAAACTACTGTAGAGGCAAAATTCAAAGAATGGATGTAAGCACAATAGACCATTAGCAAACCTACCATTGTGTTGTGCTGAGAAGTGGGAGTCCTATGGCCACAGTTCTCTTGCGTCAGCAGAGAAACTGGCTGAAATTCCTCAGAGTGAGGCTTGTTGGGAAAACTCACATGCAAGGGAAGGTGAAAGGCTGGGAGCCCGTCACTCTCCTCTTCTCCCACTTTCTGTCTGCTTGTCACCATGGCTACCTCTCCATCTGCTTCCCCATACGGAGAGGCTGGTCGCTTGGAAGACATCCTGGAAGGAACAAAAGAGGAGAAAATAATGAAACCTCCAAATAAATCCTTAATGCCGTCATTGTGTGGTTAGGGGCCATTGTAACAGAAATGCCTTTTTTGTGCTGGCAGAGAGCAGGAAACCATCCAAATACCACTGCAAAGCATACACAATTGGGAACAATGGCCAAGCAGGTAGCAACAGAACAGTGGCTTGTTTGTTGTGAGAATAATACACTAATATAGTACTCTCTTGTATTCTAGCTTCTTAAACATGAAAATTCACCTAAGAAGACTGTATAATGAAATGCAATTCCTTAAAAAAAATACCCATCTGGTTTTGCATTTGCAAGAGCCTGTAAGAAGACAGAATGTCTCCTGATACAAGCTATTGTCAACTTAGCTTTTAAGAAATAATCATCTGCATGTATTTAACCATAAGTGATAAAAACATAAAGTAAAATAAAAGAACTTGCTAGGAAGCCAAAACATCCGTGTTTATAAAACTTCACCCTCGTGAACAAGAGTGTTATAGTCATGCCACTATAATCTTTTCAGGTTTGCAGATCTGGGATAGTTAAGCAATTAAACATTTGGACATTAATAACCTCAGCTTTTTTGACAACAAATTCAGGGTTGCACTAAGTGAATGAAGATTTGCCCTTAAGATATCCTATAGTTCCTATCTATAGCCAGATCAGGAAAAAATACATGAAGATGTAATTTACATCTCTATCTATATAAAAAAGGATGCACAAGGAAGATACACGAAGCGCATGCTGCAAAAATAACACAAGAATCTTGACTTAAAATTGAGACCCACATTCCAAATTTGTTGAGATTCTCTGACAATACGAGTGTGTCTTTTACTTTTAGGAAGACTAAAAGAATTCTCATCACACTGGAAAATCCAGTTCTCATTCAAACTAGACACCACTGAAAACACTACAGAACAATCTGAACACAGAACACTTCTTGCTTGGTCTTCAAAATACAGGGATCCAGTGAAGTATTAAAATGCAGGCGACTTCTGGCATTAATTACAGCAACATTGTTCATAAAAATCAGGGTGTGTGCATGGATGCCACAATGGACCACTGTGCTAAGCAGGGGCATCTGTAATAAGGAGTGGAATGAGAAGTAAGAAATCCTATAGGCATAGTCAAAAGAAGAAAAGAAAGAAAAAAATACTAATATTTCATGGAAAATAGGAAGTTATGAGCAAGGAAACTGAAGATTATTGTACGTAAAAGCTGAAAAGACAAGCTGAAGTAATACTGCTCCTCCTCAAAAATCTAGCATTTATGATTCTAATTACCCCATTTTGATTTTCCACTTCACAGTTAAAGGACTGCATTTCAAAAGCCCAGCAGCCTCTTGAACCATGTGTGGGGCTGCTGTGAGGTGTCCATATGATTTGGCATATTGAGCACGAAATGGTTCTTAGCAGCAGTCAACTGGGTCTGAAAACAAACAGTGGCTTTAAGCAGCCCTTTGTTAGGACTTATTTTGTTTCTAATGATCTCATTTTGAGTTTTGCCTCCTGAGCCAAGTTAGAGTTAAAAAAAAAAATTAATAAAAACCCAACAAAAAAAAATCTGATTAAAAAATCCTTACCAGAACCTACACTCTGCTGCACATTGCATGTTCTGAACACCACCTATTGCTTGCACATAGAGAAGCAATCTGTATTTTCTATTAATGTTTGACTTAGTCCAACAGACTAACACTTCATGCATCCTACCTGAATTCTGTCTTCTAGGCTTTCCCACCTACGTGTCTGCAGTGAAGCATATGTATAAAGACAGAGATCAGCAGATAGACTCTTACTGGCAGTTTTCTCCTAGCCCACTGAATTCAGCATTTTCCTGCTATGTTTGACACGATAGATCTCAAGCTTTCTTCTGCAGAAACCATGCAACTTCCTCCTAAAGTTAATGTGAATTATTCATATTCTGCATTGCACTGGACCAAGACACACATTTGCTATTGATTTCAAGCGTAATATTTTGGTTACTCATTTCAACACCGCCTTAATAGAAGCCTGGCTTTTCACAAAATCTCTCTTTCTGAAAATCAGCACTAAGCAGTTGCCTCAATTTTGGCAACAAAAAAGGAGGGACATGAAATAATTAGTCAATTATTCCACACTAATGTTCTATACTTTAGGACATTTATAATCAAGGACAGAAAACATTTTAAACCATCTACAAAACTCTTCACCACAATTCAATTTGACAATTCAATAAAGAGAGAAGATACCTTCCTTCGTATTGATGATTTGCATTATATATTACATACCAAATTTGTGTTAAAAACCTACTGATGTGACCAAGAACAACCCAGATTCTGTCACACTGCTTCACGAGGAGAGTTTGACTATCATGTTGAATTAAAATTCTTCTGCTAACTTTAACAGTGAATAGACAGTTTCTTCTACTGTGTTCAGCTGGAGTGCTGAACAACATCGTCGCCGTTCGCTTGTCACTATTCCCAACGTGGATAATATAATTTTCTGTGGGGAATTTATCAAATCAGGCAAGGAAGGCAACAGAGGTGACCACCTGCATGCACTAGCAATAAATGAGGTTATTATGTTTTTGATCTAAAACAAAAACCTATGGGTTGGACTGCAGGGTAACACTAAAGTGATACTAGCATGGGAAGAAGCCTTCTCCTTCCTCACACAGCTCTTTTACCATCCAGCGTAAATTACAAGCTGTGTACTCATCGTAATACTATAAGCCTAAGAAAATTACTAAAATAGCTAAGGTGGAGCAGTTACAGATTCAATCTGCACTACTCTTCCAAGTGAAAAGGATGCTCAAAGAAGCAGTTGCACAACCCAAGGCAAGGGTCACACAACCCAGACGACGACTGCAATTTGTTTTCAGGCAGGTCTGTCCATAGCCAACATGAGTCAGGCATAATCTGGCCTTTCAGAAAACTCATCCTTCCCTTTAACATCAAACACAAACACCACAGTTTCAGAGAAATTATTTCCTCCTGAGGAACTTCTGGGAAATTTCAAAAAAAATGTGAAATGTTTAAATAAGTAAATAAATCAGTATCTATTTTGGGAAATGTCTTTCAAAAGGAAAGCAATAATCAAAGCCTAAAGCAGCAAAGGCTCAGATCCGTGATAGTTTCACAAGCAGAAAATATGACAAAAGGTAAATAGATTCACAGATTGTCTTTCATGATTTCTACAGCTTTATTGGTTTCTTTTCTGAATTTGAAATGTTCCTACACCCTATATCCTTGAATTCTCTTATTTTCATAGATCTTCATTTTCCTCCTGAGCTAATACTACATTTTCACAGTTTCCATATCTGAGAAGCAAGTAGAGTTCCCATTATAAACAACAAGCATAGGGGAACAGTTACATTCTGAATAACAATGTAATCTGAAACTGAGCTCTTTTCAATAGATCTAGGTATAATGACTGACTGGAATTATCCTTAACAAAAGACTGCAAACATCCTGGATCTGCCCTCAATGATAACACTAGAGTTTACAACTTGCATGACTTGAAGATCTTTTTCTCAAACCAGTTTAAACTCTGAAGAGCTTTCAATTACACCCCTCTGAAAGAAGGTTTACAAACAGTAAGGAAACACCAATTTTCTCAAATATCAATTCATAGATAGACTTCAACAATGCAACAAAACCCCAAGACTCAACTCCCAGAAGAGCAGCAATATGGTGGACCAGATTCTGCATCTAAAAGGGTGTCTCTGCAGACAAAATCTGTTGCAACTTAAGAATCTCAAGAAGAGTTGCATTTTGAACTGCCATTGATATGAATTATCATTTCTACTGAATAGCTGAATAGTAATGTTTCACACAACCTAAATCTTCAAAGTTCAGACACAGTGGGATGCAGGCAGTACTCAGCCCACTGTAGAAACACATCAGAGTTAGGAAACATAACCCCCATCAGTTTTGGTGACGAATTCAGATAAGACTCCATTTCTTGGAAAGGAACTCTTTTTCTGGTTTTGGAAAGGCTTCTTAATATGAAGAAATTGTAGTGAAAGCACGTGGCTTTTGTTAAATTTTCATTAAATACACGCTTTTTTCTGGTAGCAAGTTCAGGGAAGTAAAGCCTCACTCTTCCAACTCACTCTTATTCCACAAATATTTGATGTAATTCATCTTACAATAACTTCTCCATGTATTTCTTCATTCCCCTTCAATTTACAACAGACTCTTTGTAGGCTTAAACTGATACCCTGTGTCTAGTGATCTCAAGTGTTTTTGGACTGACTTCAGCAAGGCTGGATTTTCCCACTAGAAACAGTAAGAGCCACACTGCATCCACACGAATTGTTTCCTCATGCCACCTACATCCAACAACACTGTTTCCTCATGCCATCTACAATAAAATAATTGCAGGCTACCAAAACCACATTATTTTGTTTGTTTCATTTTGTTTTCCCTTGAGTTCAGTGCCTCACAACAGTCACCCTTCCACAGCTCTATTTTTTAATTATTATTAAACAGAACATCATTTAAGTATTCCCACTACATTTCCATTTGTTTATTGTTTTTGGTTCATTTCATACATAATTGTATACCCAAAAATAAATCTAAAATGGTATCCAGTATTCAAGGAGATAGTGCCCTCTAGCACACAACTAGCATCCATCCCAATTTGATTGCTTGTGCCATAAAATTTCATAAATTTTATGTCATAGAACTCTAATCTTGTTACATTAAAGCAAAATACCTCAGAAACATTTCAGATACCCACAAAAGCTTTAGGAGAAATGGCTTATCCATGTCTTCAAAAGTGACAAACACAGATGTGTCAGGAGAAATAGATATGAGGCCATAAATCTTAACTTGTTGGGAGTTAATTAAGGGATTCATCAATCATTACACAGATCACTCCATACATATACAGGCAAAATCCCGTCAGCTGCCATAACCCACAGCAATCTACAGGTTCAAAACTCCCAAAGTCTCTCTCTGTTCTGACTATTTATAAATTACTTTGTATAATCTAGCATTAAGACC